TTCAAAACCATTGGTTTAAAAAAAACGGATCGGTGACCCGGATCGGGCTCCCAAAAAAACCGATCCGGATCGGTGAATCGGCGATCTTGATAGGCGAATCGGCGATCCGGATCGGTGAATCGGCGATCCGGATCGAGAATTGGGTGAATCGGTCATAATAAAGCTTAAGAAAAATCCGAAAAAATTATTAAAATTCATTATAAATGTTGTTTTTTAGGAATTAAATAAGAAATGAGGGTACTCCATTAAGAATTTTCATGTTTTTGAATGAATATGCGAATATTGATATGTTCTTTCCCTGCATGAACCGCCATTCAACATTTAATTTACATCACACAAAAGGATAAACATAGAATTATCATGGAATAAGTATATCAACATACATGGACTACAATAAAACATAAAATTAGTAACATATGATCTAAAAATAAAATGATAGACGACGTTATTGTTCTTCTTGGTCACGCTGGTGCCATTGATTAAATTCGTTTAACAATTCATCGATTCGATCTAAAAACGAATCATCGATATTAGCAGGCGTCTGACTATTCCCAAATCCCTGAGTGTTAGTGTTTTGTTGTGTTCCCAATCTAAAATCCTTGAAGATTGTCTATCCTTCATGCTCACCTGCACTGCCGTGCTCATCTCTACACTGTTGTTGTTGGGACTCGATATGTGAATAATATGGCTGGGATAGAGTGGCCTCAGAATCACCATCTCTCTCATTTTCTCTTTGAATAATATGGATTAAAAAAAAAAAAAACAAATTTTCAAAAAAATCGATCATGGATTAAAAAAAAAAATCAAAAAATTTCAAAAAATTCTATCATGGATTACAAAAAAAAATTCGATCATGGATTAAAAAAAAAAATCACAAATTTTCAAAAAATTCAATCATGGATTACAAAAAATTTGATCATGGATTACATAAAATTCAATCATGGATTACAAAAAAACAAACAAAAAAAACAAAAAATTCAATCATGGATTACAAAAAAGAAAAAAACAATTCGATCATGGATTACAAAAAATTCAATCATGGATTACAAAAAATTCTATCATGGGTTACAAAAACAAAAAATTCGATCATGGATTCAAAAAAAAAAAAAACAATTCGATCATGGATTACAAAAAAATCGATAAAGTATTACAAAAAATTCTATCATGGATTACAAACAAAAAAAAAAAAAAAAAAAAAAGACCAACCGTACGGGACTCGTCGATTCACTGTACGGACTCGCAGTGAATCGGCAAGTTACTGTACGGAATCGTCCGGTTCTCTCTAGAACCGAACGATTCCCGTTTTTTTCGCTGATTCGATCCGTCCATGGCGATTCCCAAGTCGAACCGGGAGAGTCCGGTTCGACTCGGCGTTTTTTAAAATATTGGTTTAAACTCTTATCTATGTTTATCCATTCTCTGTACAATGAGTAGTCTACATAGATAAACATCGGGAAGAGTTTAAATGGCAAAGACAGGTAAAGCGTGGTTAAAGAAGGGTATAGAGGATTTCAATTGTTGAACAATTGAAAATCCATTGAATTCAATTGTTGAAAAAGGGTAGTACATATAATAAAAAAATTTGGTTGTTGAACAATTGAAAATTCAAATTTTTCGATTGTTGAAAAAGGGGAGTGCGTATGGAAAAAAATTTCAGTTATTGAAGAACTTGAAAGTTAAAATTTTCTGTTCTTCAACAATCGAAATTTTTTAATAAAAAAATTTCACTTCTTGAATCACTTAACAATTGAAAAATTTGAATTTTTAGTTCTTCAGCAACATAAATTTTTGAATTTTTCGGTTTGAATTTGGTTGTTCGACAACCAAAAAAAGGTAAAATTGTATTTTAAAATTTTTTTCGTTATGACATGAAAAAAACGTTTAAGTTTTCGTTACGATGTGAAAAAATAGACAGATAGGTAATAGCAGAAACTATTCGATAGTTTTGTAATAACGTAAAGTATAACTAAGTAATTTTTCTAAGATTTTAAATCTCATAAATAGTGCATTTTACAACATATTATCCGACTATCGATTTTTAAGATTTTCATAGGTTTATAGATCTATTTGATTTGAATTATTTTTAAAATTTAAAATTTTATAATTAAATATAAAAATAAATTTTGAGATAATCTTAAAAACATTTTACATCAAAATTATATATCATGTTAAAATTTGATGTTGCATCTTACCTATGCATCCGTATGCAAACCGTACCCTTACCTATGCATCGGTATGCGAACCGTACCCTTATACAAAAGATATCCGCATGCCAACCGCACCCTTATACAAAAGAAACCTGTTGTGTGTTCCTAAAAAACTTTTGCAGTGAGGCTACACATTTTGTTTCATATGCCTGGGCCTTAGAAAAACTGCATCCATGGTAAACAAATCGGAGTCAATCTCCTTCCTCGCCCCACGGCCTCCAGCACCTCTCCGCTGCCCATGCAACTCTCACCACGGTAAACATCTCCTCTCTCTACAACAAGCCAACCTCTCTGTCTCTCTCTCTCTATAACATGCAAACCTCTCTCTCCAGCGCTTCAACATCAAAACCCTTATCACGGCTTTGTAGAATCGAGAGAGAGATGAGAACTAAGACGGTTTCCAATTTAATTATCAATGTCTATCCCTGGTATAAAATTTGCGAATGCAGCGGTAATGTGTCAAAATAAAGGGGAGATGTTTGACCTAAAACAGTTCATGGTTCAATGGAGGATTGCAAATTGAATAGCGGTTTTAGGATTTCATGCTTTCCCCAACAAAATTGGAGACTCGGGTGTTCTGGTTTCCCTTAATTGAATTGCAAATTAGGGCTTTCGTGCTCTGCGTTAAGCGGCAGCAGATTTGTGAGAAGAATTTTTAGGAGAGAGAAATGGGAGAGCATGCCTCCTCCTTCTCCTTTTTAGAAAGAGAAAAAAGGTTACTTCTCTACTCTCTTCCGACGGCCAAACGGTTCATAGAAATGAAGTTCCAGTAAATTTAAGATGAGCCTGAGAAAACTGATAAGTTTTTTTATTGAAAAGAATTTTTAACCCTGCATCCAAACTCGCCATATATCCCAGTATTCTGTGACTTTTCTGGTTTCTCCTCTATGATTTTTCCCAGTTAAAGTTGGTCAGTACTGCCTTCTAAGCTTTTATACTACAATATCATTTTATTTGTTTTATGGGGATTTTCTGGTACTTTCACAGGCTTCAGAGAAGAAGCGTACGAACACCAAGAGGGATATTAAGGTTGAGGAGCTGGTTCTGAACATCTTAACTGACAAGAGTGGAGACCGGCTTGCCATGGATGCTAATGTAATCTCCTTCTTCATAGGTTTTTTCATTTTCTCTATTAAATGCTATTATGATCACGAGTTTCATATTTGTTTTCTTGTATGGATTTAAGAGTATTGATTCAATGTGCAACTCAATGATTTTGATGGAGAATGTTTCGAGATAAACTGTGTAATCCTTCATTAAAATAATTGCTGCACAGGAATTATTATGTTCTTGATCATGATGCAGTCTTTCAGAATTAAACTTTTACATTAAAACTGTATTGTCCATGATCATGATGCAGTCTCTCTCACATGCAACTGAAGAAATCGTTGAATCGGATATAGATTTTTCCATTCCATGTGTAGTAAATTGGGAACAAATTGAGCTATCAGAAAGGTACTTTTCCAACCCTTTTCTGAGTTTTATGTCCAAAAACATTGAATTATTTTTTAAACCCAATTGTCTTCTTTAAAGGGGCTATAATAGTCTAATTTTATTCTTCTCATTGGAATAGTTTCTAAAATTAATGGAAATTTTATGCATCATGCATCTGATAATATCTATTTCATTTGACATCTCTTTATATGACTGGATTCGACTTCATCATATAAAGTATAAAATGCAATTCATTAGTATGTGAATGATTACATATTGAAATAAATATGAAATGTGCGACATTTTTGGCCATTGTCACACTAATATGCATCCAGCCACATCAATTTCGTCATTATTTTTAAAAAATGTAATGAAGTATTGTTTTTCGTTGTTTTGGTGAATAAAGTGATTTTCTTCTTGGTTTCCTTGTATCAGTTTTCTTGTCTCTTGTATGTTTGAGGAAGCGGCTTCATTGTCTTCATCAATAATAAAACAGCTATGCAATGTTAATTGTTCAGAGTCGACAGAAAATTTGGAAATTGATGACATGAAAGAATCGGCTGCAATGGTGTTTATTCAGTCCTACAAAGAGTTAGGAAGGTACCCAATTCAATTTTTTCTGATGTACTTGATGAAATTTGATAGTTTCGAATGGGAGGAATTCATTTATTATTTTTATTTTTTTTCCTTGAGGTTCCTTTTTTTTCTGATAGTTATTGAATTCATGTATTAATGCTTGTTTGTTTATGAGAGCTGACATATTCTGGATTTTTGGAGGCTTTGCATTTTCTGTATAGACTATTTTGAATTATTATTATGAAGCTTTACTCTAGAGCTGTGGAATTTCTGCTGCCATAATTACCTTTTTCATGAGTATTGTCAACTTTTGGGGCCTGCTTGGCTGGTGGAAGAGGCAGTTGCCATAGCCACCGCTTCCATGGGTTAGCTTGGAGACTGCGGCTTCCAAATTTAAGCGTAAATGTACTCTGTTTTGGAAGCTGCAGGTTCCAAAACAGCATTACATTCCTGTTTAACAAACACAGGAATTGATACAGTATTGGAAGCTGAGGCTTCCAGTAATCAAACACCCCTCTGGTTTTTGTTTGTTTTAAACTTTTGTTTCCACATGCATAGACACACACACACAAATTATTTGCATGCAGTCTTGAGAAAGAAACAAGTTGTGGAAAGAAAAATGATATAATGCCACAAAGAAGTCCGTCCGTTAGATCAACAATTTTTTGAAGAATGCCAATGATTAGAAGGATATCCTATTGTCTTTCATTAGTACTAAGTGTGTATTAAGGTATTCGAAAAGAAGGTACAGTTTCTATGGCTCTCTAACCTTTGGTAACCTTCGGGATGTACAACAGTACATGGGAAAATAAATTAAGAAACAAGAAAGAAAAAAACAATGAGTGCTTTATTTGAAGGGTGCAGTTGGCATACAGATGCACCCGTAGCTGTAGAGGTAAGGTGCACCTTCAAATTTTATCATGGTATATAATTTTGATGTCAAATGTTCTTAGGATTATCTCAAAATCTATTTTTATATCTAATTATAAAATTCAAAAACGGTTAAAATCAAGTAGATCTATAAACATATGAAAATATTGAAAATGGACGGTGTAGATAATATGTTGTAAAATGCACTATTTCTGAGACTTAAAATCTTTTTATTTTTCATGGTCATACATCTCGATGTCGAGATGATCAATCAAAGGGTTTTTCAACATTAAAACTACCTTTTCTGATGGATTTTTTGAGGCGCATCCGTAGTTCTACATTATAAGGTTGCATCCTTATATAAATTTTTTCCATACAATCATAACAAAAAAAAAAAAAACTTCGATTGAAACTAATTGGTTTTTCAATGTTCAACCCATTGAAGCCTATGCAAAGTCGGCAAAAATAAAATTATAGAAGATATAGTTACAAGAAACTTCAAAAACATTTTAGCTTTAGTTTTAATATACCTTATATTGACCATTTAAAATTTAATCCGGTTCTTTGGAACTCAAAATTTAATATGAGGGAAGTGAGAGAAAATTTTGTACTAATCAAGGAAAATGTGATGAAATTTAAAAGATTTATTCTAGTATTCTAATTGTTAATGTGGGCAATGATTCAAAAAGTGGACCGCCCATTGCCTAGGCGGTCCGAAAAGCCTAGGCAGCCAATCTGGGCGGTCGATCCCTGGGCGGTACGGAACCCGCCTAGGCGGGCGCCCAGGGGCGAAAATTGATTTTGATAGGGGCAATTTTGGTTTTTTTTTGTTTGTTTTTAAGTTCCAAAAATTAGGGTTTTAGGTTCATTTGAACCCTAAAATTTGTTGGAGTCAATTTTAGAGAGAGAGCCCCCAAAAATCTAGTTTTTTGAGAATTTTTTAGGATTGAAGGGTTTCTCAAAATTAACAAATATTGATCAAAACATCACCCATTGATATTAGATTTACTTTTTGATGTTTTGTAAAGTTATTAGGGTTTTTTTAAAAGATTTTGAGTATTTAGAAACATATTTGAGGTGGAAGTTTGAGCAATCAAACTCAAAGTAAGTGATTTTTTTATTGCTTTAGTAATTTGCATTATTTTTTAGATGCCTTCTTTGGGATCTAATAGGAGTGGTGATCCCAGTTGGAAATATGACTATAACCTAGATCCTAATGGTAAAAATTGTATAAAATGTAAGTTTTGTGAAAAGGATACAAAAGGGGGCATAAACCGGTTCAAGAAACATCTTACCGGTATTAGGGGGGATGTTGCCCCATGTAGAAAGACTCATGATGTTGTTAAAGATGAAATAAATAATTTTTTGAACATGTTGCAATTGAAAAAAGATGAGAGATTTGCCTCTATAGCAGATATTAAGTCTGGGGTTCAGGTTAATTTTGATGATGATGGTAGTGATGAGGAAAGGGAGGGATGTCAAGAGGTTGAGCAATCTATTATTAGGGGAAGGGGAAGGAGAAGGGAGTTGTAATTGCTTTTGGTTCTGAGACTAAGAAGCCTCGGGTTATAGGCCCTATGGATAGTTTTTTATCTCAGCCTGACCCTAAGGTGCAGGAGAGAAAACAAAAAAGCAAACCACCATTGAAAATAGAATCAAGAAGGAAGAGAGAGATAGAGCTGCATATAATCTTGCTACATGATTTTATGAGGCGGGCATTCCTTTCAATACCGCTCGCTTAAGCAGCTTCTATGCTGCGATAGAGGCAGTTGGCCAATTTGGCTCTGAGATGAAACCCCCAACCCCATATGAGCTTTCAGAGCCTTTTTTTAAAAAGGCAGCAAATGCCACAAAGGAAGTTCTAGAAGAAGGATGCATGGGTATGGGGTTTCTATTATGACTGATGCTTGGAGCAATAGGAAGAAAAGAAGTCAGATGAATTTTCTTGTGAATTGTCCTGCAGGGGCTGTCTTTTTGAGATGTATTGATGCCTCTAATCATATCCATGATGCCCATTACATATTCAAGT